GGAAGGAGAAACCCCTCTGATTAAGAGCAGGCTGCAAGTAGTCCTTGACTTATAACAGTTCATTTTGTGACCCAAATTACAATGGTACTGAAAAAGTCACTTATTCCCGTTTTTCACACTTATGACTGTTGCATCCTCCCCAGAGTCACGTGATTTACATTCAGATGCTTGATTGACTCACGTTTGTGACGGTTGCAGAGTCCCAGGGTCACATGATCCCCTTTTGCAACCTTCTGACCAGCAAAAATCAATGGGGAAATCAGATTCACTTAACAACCGTGTCACTAATTTAAGAACTGCAGTGAGTCACTTAAATGTGGCAAGAAAAGTGTTAAAATGGCACAAACTCACAACAAATTTCTCACTTATCAGCATAAATGTTGGACTCAATTGTGGTCATAAGTTGAGGACTACCTGTATTCTCCAATTCTTGACCTCAGAAGTATGGAGCTCATTCTCACTCTTCCCAAATATCATTGTCTCCTCTAGAATAGACTTGGGCATTTTACTGGCCTATGTCAGGTCGATCGGAAATTAGAAATCAAATATAAATACGTGTACTCCATACAGTACAGGTAGTCCTCAACTTACGGCCACAACTGAGCCCAAAATTTCTGTTACTGAGAGACATTTGTTGTATTTTGCCCCATTTTACGACCTTTCTTGCCACAGCTGTTAAGTGAATCACTGGAGCGGCTGAGTTAGTAACAAGGTTGCTAAGTGAATCTGGCTTCCTGGTAGATTTTGCTTGTCAGAAAGACGATCACATGACCCCGGGGCACTGCAACTGTCATAAAGATGAATCAGTAGCCAAGCGCCTGAATTTTGACCACCTGACCAGGGATGCTGCAACCATCCGTTGTAAGTCACTTTTTTCAGTGCCGTTGTAACTTTGAATGGTCACTAAATGAACGGATGTAAGTCCAGAACAACTGCATTGCTTTTATTTTGAAGGCAACTATTTTTTTTTATATTTACGTATATGCTTATGTGCGTGTCTATGCACCTTCATAGCTATATTGGTTCGGCCTTCCACAACTGCCCCCGTTTCTCCTCTGGCCTCTTCAGAAAATTAATTCCCCAGCCTTACTCTAGGGAGACAAGCAAGTCTCCTCTCCTTTACTAGAAATGGATGGGGCACTATCAACAATGCAGAAGAATCTCTGACAAAAAAGGCTAACCTCGCCATTTGTCAAAGTTTTAGCCTCTTGTTAGAGGTCGAGTTGCTTCCTGCCTGTCCATCCTAAATGCTAGCTTCCAGAGTTGGGAGGAAAGGTTCAAAAATAGCAATACCACTTAGAGCAGGGGTGTCAAACTCAAGGGGCGCGATGTGGTCGGAGCCATCCCGCAGGGCTATCCTGCAAAATGTAAGGGGCTGGCCCGCGTCGCTTCATCCCAGTCTACCCAATGCGAAGGGGAAACATGTCAGCACTTTGGGGAGTGGTGTCAAGCTAGCCACGCCCACCGTCAGCCACACCTAACCCACCCAGTCAGCCACATCCCCCCCACTCCCCAAGTCAACCACAGCCGTTGCAGCCCTCAAATGAAATTGAGTTTGACGCCCCTGATAGACCTACAGTAGTGGCCAAAATTGTGGAAACCTTTTGGGGAAAGTGTATTTTTGAGGTTTGATGGCTAATAACACCATTTTGTTTGGCAGTAGTACCAGAGTTATATATATTAAAGATAATTTAATCAAGAATGTAATGCAACACTGTTTGTTCAATTATCTGTGTTCTATGAAAAGTTATAGCCAAATAACCAGAAAAAGGAAGCACAACTTGCTTAGGTTGATATCAGGTAGCTTTCTGATTGTAGCCAATGAGCATGAGTGTTAGAGAGCCAATCAGGTGTCATCTTGTTTTGGCAATGAGCCAATCAGGTGTCGCAACCAAGTATTAACTGACACGGTGATAATTTTTGTATGTCTCGTTTTTCCTACATGTTTCACTTTTCTTTTTTATAACTCCTATTCTAATAGCCGATGCTTCATAAAAGTTATTGCATTGCATTCTTGATTAAATTATTTTTCTATTGATATATAATTTTATGGTACTACTCCCCAAATTTTGGCCACTACTGTATATACCGCTTCACAGTGATTTACAGTCCTAAGTGGTTTACAGTGTCAGCCTGTGGC